TAGTTACGCCGGAAGAGACTAACCTCGTGGAACCCCCACTTAATACCAGAACAACCGCCGCAAAGTGCTACGTTAGAATTAAGAATAATCCGATATTAGCGGTGCTAGATTCTGGAGCCGCTGTTAGCATTATCTCAAAAAAACTGGCAAGAAAACTTAACCTAGAAATCACCGAGCCTTCCAACACCGTAGTAGTCATAGCCAATGGAACCCGAGAGCGAGCTCTAGGAAAGATACCTGACATAAGAATGGCAATTGGAAACGTGATGGTGCCCACCGCCTTTCAGGTAATCGAGAACCCCGAAGAAGTGATGCTGTTAGGGATGGACTGGTTCCAAAAGGTCCGAGCTCAGCTCTATTTCGACGAAAGTAAGCTGTTTTTAAGGTACCTGGGTAAGAGTGTAGAAGTGCCGATTTACCAAGCGAAAGAAAACCAGTCAGTGATGATACCAGAGACACATCAGGACGATGACGATGATTACTTTAATAATTTTGAAGAGGAAGAAACCGAAGAAGTCGAAAGCTATCATACGGATGAGGCAGAAGAAAAAGAAAGTCCTGAACAACCCTGGGAAGATACAGAAAACCCGGCCATCTTCCTAACCGCCGTTGAAGAGTTACCCACCCCCGAAGAAAACGAAACCCCCGAATTGACACCTGAAGAAGCGGTAGAAAAATTGATACAAACCGATACCCTAACAAAAGAACAAGAGAAAGAATCCAAACTACTCCTAGAAAAATATAAAGGATTATTCTCCACAGGATTGAATACGTTGGAATATGTCGCTGAAGTCCAACACGAAATCGATACAGGAGACGCAAGACCGATTAAGCAATCGGCATATCGAATTGCCCCTGATGAACAAGATTTTTTGAGTAAAGAAGTAAAGAAATTATTAGATAACGGGCTTATCTACGAATTAAAAAGTTCCTGGACATCCCCGGTCGTCATAGTACCCAAGAAAAACGGAAAACTTAGGTTGTGCGTGGATTATCGAAAGTTAAATGCCGTAACTAAAAAAGACGCTTACCCTTTGCCCCGAATTGATGACTTACTCGAAACCTTCGGCAAGGCTAAATGGTTTTCAAGTCTCGATCTAGCCAGTGGTTACTGGCAAATAGGTGTAAGACCCGAAGACCAAGAGAAAACAGCTTTCGTAACCAAGCAGGGGGTTTATGCTTTCCGGGTCATGCCCTTCGGGTTATGCAACGCTCCTGCAACCTTTCAACGAACCATGAACAAAATTCTAGAAGAATTTATAGGCAAATTTACCGCTGTCTACTTGGACGACATTATAATTTACTCTAATACCTACCAGGAACATATAGAACACTTACAAAAAGTGTTTGAAAAAATCAAGACCGCGGGGATGAAATTCAACCCGGAGAAGTGCGACCTATTTAAACACAATATCCAATTCTTAGGTCACATAGTGGGAAAAGACGGGATAAGACCAGACCCGGCAAAAATAGAAAAAGTCAAAAATTTTCCTACCCCAGTGAACCTGAGACAGCTCCGAGGATTTATCGGTCTAGCATCATATTATAGGCGCTTTATACAACACTTCGCCACCGTCGCTAAACCCCTACATACATTATTGGAGAAAGATGTAAAGTATGACTGGGGAGTAGAACAAGAAAAAGCATTTCAAGCCTTGAAAACACACTTAACAACTGCGCCGGTTTTGAGGTACCCGGATTTTTCCAAAACCTTCTACCTTCATACTGACGCTTCAGGAGTCGGGCTAGGTGCTGTATTAGCCCAAAAAGGAGAAGACAAAAGGGAATATATTATAGCCTATGCTAGTAAAAGTCTTACTAGGGCCGAGAGAAACTATGCGGCCACCGAACTAGAATGCTACGCTGTAATTTGGGGCGTAGAACACTTCCATCCCTATTTGGGCTACCAACCTTTTATCATTATAACCGATCATGCTGCGCTTAAGTGGCTGCAAACCATGGAACCGAAGGGTCGAAGAGCCCGATGGATTTTACGCTTACAGCCTTATAATTATACGATAATCCATCGAGCAGGACGCAAACACAATAACGCCGATGCGTTATCCAGAATGATTGAAGAAAAACTCTTCAACAAAGAAAATAATGGAACAAGCCGTCATCAACAAGCAGCAGAAATGGAGAATATTGATAGGGAAAATGAAAGTAGTTTAAAACTTCCACAAACCCAAACGCACAAACCAACTGAAGAAGTAGAAGTCTTTAGGGTCATGGTAGAAAACTATTTTCCCGAAGACTCGGATGAGGAGGTTGATATAATAACAGGAGAAGAAGACATAGAATGGGATGAAGAGGATAATGATATGATGAGCGACGTCGAATATACAAGCCAAGAGGAGGAATGGGAAGAAGAACTTACCCAAAGTCAAGAACGCGAAAGGAACTATCAGAACCTTCTGCGTGAGTTGGCCGTAGAGGCAGAAAGAGTAATAACCTGGTCAACTGTTAACGGAGGATGGGGCTGGTACATAAATAATAATAACCCTGAAATAGAGCGCCAACCCATGAACGTGGATGAAACCTACCTAATCGATATACCCCAATGGAGGGAATCAGTTGCCGGGTTGGAATTCGAAGCCGACAATAACGATGAATGGGAAAATGCAGGGTATAATTATTATACCTACTCAAGTCACAATCAATCCTGGTGGAACAACGATGAATATGAAATCATCGTTGACGAAAGTCCCGACCCAGAAGACTGGGAACAAACGCAAATACTCGATACTTACATCGACTGGGAATATTATGATTCCTTATGAAAGGTAAAATCTGAAGAGATCAATCAATTAGTACGAACATTCAAAAAAAAAAAAAAAAATAAAAATAAAAAAAATAAAAAAAAAAAAAAAAAAAAACACATATATACCTTTTAAAAAGAAACTTTAAAATAGATAGATTAAATATTTACATACCAAATACTATCACGTGATTTCACGGACCCGAATGTCTGCGAAATTATGTGAGCAGTAAACATTATTATTATTATTTCTTTTTTTTTTTCTCTTTCTTTTTCTTTTAAATTCAGACCTGACATTAGAGTGCGGTTGGTCAGGATGGAGTGGGGCGAGTCGTGGGGCCCTATTCACTACTCAAAATACCAAAAACGATGTAAGAAAGAAGAATCAATCTATTGTTATTGGCTCGGATAAATAGGATTAATTTTAAAAGCTAAAGAATTGAAATACCCAACGGTATTTAAAAAGATATTCGAATAATTAGGAAGATTGAATTAGCAGTATACTACATCATCGATTTCAGCACTCATGGATGCTGAAATCAGCTACGTGACTTAAACGATTCCAGATTACCAAATAATCGAACCATCGAATGAAGGACAAGAAAACTGTCAAACGTCAAAATATCCACGCAGTGTTGGATATTGCTATCAAAACGGAATTAAAACGAACGGGAAAGCTAAAAGACGCCTAAGAAGAGTAGAAGAATAACCACTTAGTAAAGAAACATTAGAAAACGGCTTGATCACATAATTCAGAAGTTGAGAAATTAGCCGTGACAAGGACTATATTGTTAAAAGGTTAATTATACGAAGCTGCAGAAGACCGAACAACCGACCGGAAAAAGTTAATATTCACCGGAACAATCGTAATCGATACAAACCCGACGTTAAGCAAAAATCCAGTCCAGGTCGTCGGTATCCTGGCACAAAATAAATCAAAAAGATGGATCAACACCAATACGAAGCACTAAAAAAGTACTTATTATACAGACAATACCCGTCATACTTTTCCAGAGATCAACGTAACCGATTAGAAGCTCAAAGCCGATTTTTCCTAGTAAAAGAAGGAAATTTGTACAAAAAATGTCGTCAGCAACCAGATAAGTTGCTAAAAGTCGTACAAGACCAGGAACTAGGACTTGTACTGGCCCAAACTCACGATCACCCCACAGGTGCCCACCTAGGTACAGAAATAATTTTCAATAAACTACGAGATCACTACTATTGGCCGCAGATGTATGAAGATATACGGCAATATGTTAGATCATGTGAAAGATGCCAGCAACAAGGAGAAAGAAAATCCAAAGAAAAGCTGCATACTGTACCTGTAGGAGCCCCATTCTATAGGTTAGGCATCGATATAATCGGTCCACTCCCAGTCACGCCTCGAAGGAACCGTTACATTGTAGTGGCCACCGACTATATGACAAAATGGCCAGAAGCACGTGCCCTGCAGAAAGACACAGCCGAAGAGGTGGCAAAATTTATCTACGAAGACATCGTATGCCGCCATGGATGCCCAACAAACCTTTTATCCGATAGAGGCTCCCATTTTAGAAACAGGCTTATTGATAATTTACTTGCATCCTTACAAATCCAGCATCAGTATTCAAGCCCATACCATCCTCAAACGAATGGACTTGTAGAGAGATTTAACAAGTCATTGTGTACTTCCATAGCAAAGCTAGTAGAAAATGTAACCGACTGGGACCTATTGATCCAACCGGTATTATTCGCATTTAGAACTGCAAAACAAGCCTCCACGCAAGAAACCCCATTTTACTTGGTATACGGGCGGCATGCCAAGTTACCTATACATCCCGGCGAATCCCCGGACTTGTTGAATGAAACGATCATCCAGAGGATGTATGAGATTGGCCATGATCTACATAAAGCCCGTGATATGGCACGACACCAGATCCAAGTATCACAGGAAAAACAACAGGATCAGCGTGATAGACAGACCAAAGCCACACCCGATTTCTCAATAGGGGATAAGGTCCTGGTTCTAAATGCTAGAATACTGGGCACACGAAGCTACAAATTCGTGCCAAAATGGAAAGGGCCATATTACGTGCATGCTAACCTCACGAAAGGGGCGTATAAGCTTCGTGAAATAAACGGAAGAGTTCTAGCGACCCCATTTAATAAAAATCTGTTAAAACTGTATAATGAGCGAAAAATATAAAAAGCAGAGCAAAGGCCCTAGTAACCCAATAGTACCAACCCACTCACCAACAGAATGCCCACTACCGCCGCTATTCAAGTACATATTGATCTAAGTACCCTCAACCTCGTCCCTGTTGAACCCACTCCTTGCCCATATTATGAAGGGCAGGATTTCGCCACAAAGGCCATTGCCGCGTACGAACAAATCCTTCTTGCCCTCGATGAAGAAGAAAGGGTAGAAAGCTTAGTCCATGCTTTCTATCTGGGTGCGCTGCTCAGGAAAACAACCCGAAAACAACTTACTGAGCTACGATCAAAAATGCCTCGCCACTACGTCGATGCTTCCCTACGATTGCATCAGCTTTTCGAACCCCTGGGTGTAACACATATGTATTGCACCACATGGACGACTATCAATAAAATAAAAAAACTATCGGCTGACGACTATGACTGGTTGCGGCAATCAGCTTAAAAAAAAAAAAAAAAAAAAAAAAAAAACCTTCTCGTGGAACTCAAAACTTAAGTTGGGGAGTGTGTAAAGGGGCCGGGTAACCACGAGTCCTATATTTCTTATTATTTATTACATATATATCTATTTTTTTTTTTTTTTTTTTTTTTATTATATATATTTCTTCCTTTTATTAAATATGTTATTATTTTTATTAGTATACGTATATCCGGGAAATGTGGGAAAGATCGGCACAGCTAAAATTAGATTTTCATAGAGGGATACAAATTGTATCTAGAGACAAATTGTCTCTAGAGACAAATTGTATCCATATAAGCCCATGATAGTTTGTAGCCGTTTTTGTATCGCGCTTTCTCCAAATCTGTATAAGCTAGAAAAATTAGAATAGGATAGTAAAAATTGTAAAGCACAGCCGTGATGTACGCAGTAGAGGCCAAAAAGTATTTAAGACCTATCTTTTTGCCGTAATAAAAATTTTCAACTCAGAGAGTGGAAAAAAAACTCAGTGAGTTCTTAACTTCGAAAGACCTTATAGTAGAAGTTGGTTCTCTAATAAAGTTTTCCGCTTGTCTCTAATAAAAATCTTGTTAAAAATTAGTTTTTCGTAAATTCTTGTCCCCGTGATACTCGTAAAAAATTTGTTATTTTTGTGTTGTAAGAGTAAAGAGAAAAAAACTATCGAATTAGTAATCAAGATCCCTTTTATACCTCAATAAAATAAACTCTGATCGAAAATTCGTCATTATTAC